CAACACAAGTATCGTTTTGTGAGTGCTTTTCATTTTATGATATAAATCGATACACGAATCGTGTTGTCTTTTTTATTCATGAAATATAAGAAAGTTAGAATGATGTTAGTGTCGACTTATGTATGCTCGTTTTCATTAATATATTAAATTAACTTTAATGTCGGATCCACTTATTCTTCATCTTTTTTGAATTTTTAGAAAGAATGGAAAACATTTTTTGTTACTCACTGAATATCAAGAAAGATAAAATAATATTTGTATCCATTTGTGTCGATTTGCGTAAATGAAAGGCATCGTTATTTGAATATTCTCGGTAAAAAATTGTTCATGCATAAATATATTTAAACATACATAAACATATATAAATATCTATGAAATGTGTCCATGTATTCTTCTTTCTTTTGTAAAATTACTGTTTAATATAAGAAAAATAATAATGAAAAAAAACCGAAAAATATTAGGTGTACAACTTTGCTTCCGCCGTTTTCCTATAGATGGCTTTAGCGGTAAGTGGTGGTCGAAATAAATAGATCATAGACGTCATACAACAAATTTGGGCATCTATCAACATAACCCCATAGAAACATTAGTCTGCGATTTGTGTCTGCATCATAAAGTTATTCTCGATTGAAAATGTCAGTTTACGAGCCAAATTCTCGTCATTTGCGAGAGGTTTTAATTTTTTGCTTCAATATGAAGAAATCTGCGGCTGAGACTCATCGAATGCTCTCAAATACTTATGGTGAGGCCGCTAGTGAAAAAACGTGTCGTGAATGGTTTCAATGCTTCAAGAACGGTGATTTTGACGTCCAAGGTCATGCTCTGTATTTGGGACCAGCTCAGCGTAGAGTATTATGAACTGTTAAAACCGACTGAAACAATCACAGGCGATCGGTATCGAACGCAATTGAGTCGTTTGAGCCGAGCATTGAAAGACAAACGGCCGCAATACAACGAGAGACACGATAAAGTGATTTTGCAGCATGACAATGCTCGACCCCATGTTGCGAAAGTGGTCAAGACATACTTGGAAACGTTGAAATGGGAAGTCTTACCCCACCCGCCGTATTCTCTAGACATTGTTCCCTCTGACTATCACTTGTTTCGATCAATGGCACACGGCCTGACCAGCACTTCCGGTCTTATGAAGAAGTAAAAAATTGGATCGATTCGTGGATAGCCTCAAAAGATGACCAGTTTTTTCGACGCGGGATTCGTACGCTACCCGAAAGATGGGAGAAAGTAGTGGCCAGCGATGGACAATACTTTGAATCATAAATGTATAACCAGTTTTTTACAATAAAGCCTCGAATTTCGGAAAAAAACGGCGGAAGCAAAGTTGTATACCTAATAATTAAAAGGATAATTTTCATATTATATTATTTCTTTTAGAAAAAATCAAGTTTAGAGAAATGCAAAAAAATTGCTCATACGTAATTATAAATAAAATATTATATATAATTATGTATGAATAATTATTCTATATTTTTCCAAACTTGATTTTTTCTAAAAGAAATAATATAAAAATTATCCTTTTAATTATTTTTTATTCATTATTATTTTTCTTTCATTATTATTATTATTTTTCTCATCTTAAACAGTAATTTTATAAAAAAAGGAACACTGTAAGATCATTTATGGACATATTTCATATAATTATTATGTATGTTTAGATATATAGATATATTTATGTTCATGCATGAAAAATTTTGTACTAAGTTATATGTTTTTTTTTCACTGACTATATCAAACTTGTATTCGTGCGGAATCCTTAATAAAGAAAAGAAAAAGAGAAAAAAATGATTTTGTACTCAAAATCGTACTTATACAAACATATATAAAATCATACTTAAAATCTTATTAAGTTAAAATCTTTTACTTACAAAAAATCTGACTTAAAATCTTATATAATAAAATCTAATTATATACACAATAAGCGAAAAGTTCACGTTAACAGATTGTCAGTGAAACTCAAGCAAAATCTGTTATTTTGAACATTTTTTTAATAGAATATATTGTTTAAAGGTCCCAAAATGACAAATTCTATTCGCTTTTTATCAATTTATCATTATATTCCGTAACAAATTCTATTGGCATCATTTCTGTTGGCATTCTGCCGATAAAATTCGTAGTAGACATTTTGTAAAATCTATTTTTGACAGATTTGACTATCTGTTTAAATATCGCCCTAGATTTATTGAGGTATAAAAATTTCAATCTTCAATCAAACTATGTTCGAATTATATTATAAATACAAATTTGTCATACAATCAAAGGACAAATATAGATTTATTAAATT